AATAATATTTCCATAAATATATCCTCATACATAGACATAAATAAACGCGTGAACATATAAGTATATAAATACCATCAAATATAGATTTATACTAAGTTTGGGGAAAACTGCTAAATATCAATGTCATACCATTTATAGATATAAACAGTTTTGGAACAGATATTACTGGGGGATGCTGGCGGGCAGTTTCTTGCTTGAACAATACATTTAATCATGAAACTAACTATCGTCCTATTTTAATTCTTTTTATCATATCACCCAATGTAAGCCAGTAAAGCCACGAAATCACAAGGTGAAACAGTAAAGAAAGAGAAACATTATTAATGAGCGAGAACTATAGAAGAGTAATCAGGAAGTCAGAAGATTGCATTTAAATTTCTGCAGATCAAAGTAGGCTGGAAATCAAGAGACTGGAAGAGAGTTCCAATAGCCAGATGTGCGAGAAAAGAAAAAATTAGACTAGAATTCCAGTCATATATAGCCAATTTAATTGTGAATTGACGAGTCCTTGCCGACAACCTAGTATTGCGCTGAAATTCATAAAGACTAGGTACCATAGCGAATAGTTCAAAGTATTTATAGAAAAGTCACAGGGAATCTACATTACGTCAGTGGGAATGCAACGGTAGCTGAGACGCCAGGTCAGGACCAGTAATATTGCTGGTTCTTCTTTGTATCTCTAAATATACACAAGGTTCACCAGACAATATATGGCAGCAATACTCAAAGCAGTGCGCATCCTATACCGAACCTGAAAAAGGAACTCGCACTTTTTACGATAAGAATCAATAATCATATATATATATATATATATATATATATATATATATATATATATATATATATATATATATATATATAAATAAAATACACTCTTAAGATGCGCTATATTTATGGGATAAAAGTGCTCAATATGAGAGATAGAAGAATGTAAATATAAAAGTGAACATTGAATCAACACTTAGAGGCGACAGGATGCTTCATGCTAGACGCAATCGTCAGGCCACAATTGCGTCTAGCATGAAACAGCCCGTCGCCTATTAGTGTTGACTTAAATGCTCTCTTATATATATATATATATATATATATATATATATATATATATATATATATGTAGAGAGTGTGTGTGTGTGTGTGTGTGTGTGTGTGTGTGTGTGTGTGTGTGTGTTGTGTATTTGTCCAGAAGTTCTTGCTGAAACATCGTTTTAAACCTTCTAAATATATTTCAACATATTTCACTTAAAATATTAATATAAGACTATTAGCCTTCTTTATTGATCACATCAAATATCAACTATATAGAATTTCCTAAGAATAAAAAAAACAAAACAAAACAGAGTCTTTAATATTTTTGCTTATGATTTTGCACCTCAGTTTCTGTCATTTTCTCACCGACATAACGTCGGCCCCTCTGACTCTTATACAAATATTTCCATGGCAACAATTCTGATGTGCTTTACTCTTTTGGCTTGACTGCCTGAATTTAAACCTGCTACTCTATGGTCTATTATGCGTTGTCCATTAGCGTTTAAGGTTAAAATATTCTATATTATTCTAATAGTTTCTTTTCTAACACTTCTTACCTGTGGAAATACCTTCCGATTCCTGGCATCCCTAACACCTTCAATTTATAAAAATATTAAATGCAAAGTTAACCGCCATCTTCTTCTTTCCTGAATCCTGTACCTTTATTGTCAGCTTCACACCTTTCTTCACTAAAATCTTATCTTTCTCTTTTACATTCTGTAACCCCCTTCGTCCAAGAGATAGTATCGCCTTGTTTGCGGTGAAATGATTAAAATGTGGTTCGTCTATTATCAATGGCAAAATAAGGACTCACTGATCACTATTAGAATCAGAAAAATTCTGGTTTTATTAATAGTGCTTTCATTAATTCTGATAACTCTCTCAGTTGCCTTTCGCCCTAGATGACTTTCTTTATGGGAATGAATGACTCAACACATCATCTATTGATGAGTATATCTGCATCATTTCTCTAGATGTAATGATTTCCTTTCACTTCCATGTTCCACTTGAAATTAGAACAGAAAAGAAATGTGCAGAATGAAATTGCATTGGCTTTCGGTATATTTCATTAAATTATTAGAACAAAACATCCTCGAAAGCTGAATATTATTTCGTAGGATTTTGCAGTTCAGATGATTAGAATTTTAAGTTCTTGCACTTTTTGTTGTATCTGGTTTGTTAGTAAAAGTAATCATGTGTCACTAAGACGCCTTAACACGGCATTAGTATTCAAAGTGTGTGTGTTTATTTTTTTACTTTTTATTTTTTTGCGGCTGGAATTAATCTTTATAGTTTTCCCAAATTTGCAACTACCATACACATCAATCATCGACATAAATTTTAATTTTTTACAGTTCAAAATACTTTTTCAAGTTTTTTTGTTTTATGTGTCGTCTTCTGACACGGAGTTATTCACGATCTTTATATTTTTAGAAATCAGAACGGCTACATATATATATATATATATATATATATATATATATATATATATATATGTGTGTGTGTGTGTGTGTGTGTGTGTGTATGTGTGAAAAGTGTATGTATATAAATATAAATAAATATATATATGTATAATTATTTATATATTATATGCAATTACTTATTAGAAAGCGCTCAATATCAGAGATAGAGCTAACATATTTGGTTAGAGATGTGAGTTTGTGACCCTGGGTTTCACGATCGCTAAAGCGTGAAACCCAGTCTCACTAAACTCACATCTATCAAAATATATATATATATATATATATATATATATATATATATATGTTTGTGTGTGTGTGTGTGTGTGTGTGTATGATTGATGATTTGTTTCGTCTTGTTCTGATGGTTTTAGTTATTTCTTTTTTTTTTTTTTACTTCTGTGACATAGTAAATAGTGAAAAATGTGACACCGAAATCCGAAGACGTATTAGAATAGAGAAAAATACCTTCCAAAAACTAAGAGCGATATAAAGGAATTAACAAATCGCGGGAAACAGAAGTAAGATTTGTCGACTGATATTTAATACCATGCTGGACATTTTTCTCGCCGATAAAGAGGAGATTTAGTGAAACAGAGATTTGATTCTCCAGAATACTATGGCGGGAAATGAGACCAGCCGGAAGTTTTAATGACAATTTGAACGAAAATACATTCGAAAACAAAATTTCCTGGAAGTATAATACGAAAAGTGGGTTAGACATGTTTGTCATTTGAGGGAAACATAAAATGACATACCCGGGGATTTTGTGTAAATATTTAACAGAAGCTGGACAGAAATAAATATATATATATATATATTAAAGACATTTTTAGGTTTAACGTTGTTGTTTTTTTATTATAGATACAAGTATTTAAGTAAATGCTCTGTTTATGATAAACAGTATTAAATAACATTTACCGGCCTGAATGTCCGAGAAATTTTTCATAGAAAATATTCGTCCTTTGACAGGATTCGAACCTGCATCCTATACGGAACCGTCATTTACGCTGACGTGCCTTATCCGATCGGCCACAAAGGAGCGTTCGGTAGGCAAGGTCGAATTTACTGCTTATAAACTTCAATCTTCCATTTGATACGCCAGAGCAGTTATGAATGTACGAGATTGTTTATTATGAACAGAGCATTTACTTAAATACTTGTATCTATAATAAAAAAAAAAACAACGTTAAACATAAAATGTCTTTTAATAAATAAATTGTCGGACTTTGTCCATTTCTTAATATATATATATATATATATATATATATATATATATATATATATATATATATATATATATGATACTATTAATTGTAATAGATCGATTCGCATATTGTCCAGTTCACACTCCTTCCGGTCTTTTAAACATGTGTAGAGGTTTATCCTGGCTTCCTGTTTAGCATCAGGCTTCTAATGTATTTTCATTCTAGAGGCTCTGACTATTAGCTTCTTGCGTCTTAGTGAAATCCTCGCCTGGTTTAGTGCAAATTGATAAAATAAAATAATTCTACATGTAAACATAGAGTAATATTTACACACGTGTTGTATTAATAAACCATCAGCTAGTATCGAATTAAATAGATAAGCAAATTCTCGGCAATATTAGCAAATTCTAGTACTACAAGCGATATTCTAAGCAATTAGTACATTCAGAGAGAAAGATATATCGAGATGGGTTAACTGACGAGATAAATAAAGATAAAGAGACTGATGTAGATATGAATTGACATACCGATAGATAAAAATCCCCTGTGGCACATCTTACCTCAATAGGGAGACCAAAAAATAACTTGTTGATTGATAGATAGATAGATAGATAGATAGATAGGTAGATAGATAGATAGACAGACAAATACGAACAGACTGACATAACATGAAAAACTGGAATAGGGAAAAATTATATATATATATATATATATATATATATATATATATGTACCCCGGGGTTAAGAGCAAAATTGACCAAATAGTGCAACAACACAACTGCCCATACCATGAAATGTTTAATATCTAAAAATCACTAAACTAATTGAGTTTCATTTTTTCCAATTTCTTAAATAAAACATTTCGCCATCTTGACACCATTTGCCGTAGGAAACATTGGAAAACCTTTTGAGTTATTCATTTAGGTGGAAATCCATTGGTGCCAGCATCGTTGATATGAACAATGGTGAGTGAAAAAATATTCAGATCTTCAGTAATGGTACCGCCATTCATACATTACCCTCAGCGCTCAATATAAGGAATACAGCCTATGTAAATATGAAAGTGGACATTAGAATCAACACCTAGAGGCGGCAGTTTGTTATATATATATATATATATATATATATATATATATATATATATATATATATATGAAAGTGGACTTTGACATCCAAAACCAGGGGTGTCAGTCTGTTTCATGCTAAACGCAATTGTCAGGCCGTGTGACATAATTTACCTTATGCTACATTACCTGACGATTGATTTTAGCAAGAAACAGGCTGCCACCTCTAATTGTTGATTTCAATGTCCATTTCCACACACGCACGCACACACACACGCACGCACACACGCACACACACACACATATCTATCTATCTATCTATCTATCTATCTATCTATCTATCTATCTATCTATCTATCTCATGTCGTCTGTCTGTCGTGGGCGTTGTTACCTCGCCCAGGCCGCATTTCTCACCCGATTTCGATGCGGTTTTAACACAAGTTTGCAAATGGCTGCCGTAAGGACATGACGGAGCCCGATTTCGGACTCAGGTTTCGAAGAAATCGATAATCTAAAAAAATCGTTAATCGAAAAAATCTGCTTACAGAAGGAATGATCGCATTTCAACCAAATTAAACATCCTCTTAGAGTCTACCATTAAAAGTGTTGTCCAGAAGTTTCATGACCACGGACCCCTAAACACGCGGAAAATCGATAAAACCCAAAAACTGATACGCCCAGATTGCTCCTGAACCGCAGGTCGATTTTTAGCGCAAACCGACCGGATATATGAGGATGCCATTGGGAGTCAGCATGTGAAGTTTCAACTCTGAGCGCCCCCCAAACTGAGTGCAAATCGACAATCGATCAATCCTTAAAAATGTTTTTCCGGTTGGGTATTTCCTAAATGCAGATTAATTTAAGGTCACGATATGCGCGGGAAGAAACAGGTCAGTGCGTGCAGTGGAGTGGAAGGAAACATTTGACCTCAAATTCTGGAATGGGTGCAGGGCCATTGAAATTCGGCTTTTTTTTATCCCTGCTACCGTGTCTGACTTTGAGCCACAAATGACATATTCGACTTTTGCTTTAATAGTCGCATTTTACCAAAATAAGCACTTCCTTTATTCACGTCTTTACTGGAAAAAAAAAACAAAAAACGCATACGTGCTGGGTGAAAATGGTTCCGCCCTCAGCAGTCGATTTTCCAATCTTTAAAGCTTTTCCCCGAGCTCAGGCCGCATCCCAGACCTGACGAGGAGTTTTTGCGCTAAAACAGCAGGGCTTCCTCCCAATCCATTTCAAAGCAAACGGTTAGCGGCTTTTCGTTGTCGCACAAACTAAACGAGAAAACGCTTCATTGCAGCTCCTTGCATTCTCATTGCCGGCACCACGTGTGTTAGAGCCAAGCTGCATATGCAGCAGGCAGCTTGACCCCGTTTACGGCTAAGCTTAGCAATGGTCTAAGTCATGGCCAATGTCCAGGCTACACCAATCAATGACAAGTCACGCACCCTTTAAATACCTTCAGCGCGGCTGCATCTGCACTCAGGTCTTGATTTGATCGCCATTAACGCATCTGTCCTTGGATCAATTTACAGTTTCCTGATAACGCAAGTTACCTATTTCCTTAAACGTTTGCATTACCCATTTTATCTCCGCGCCCTCTACTCCAGCCCAGTCCATCTTAGCATTCCATACCTCACCTTTTCCTAGTTCATTTTTGACATTAACTGCTGTCACTTATTTTTATAGTGGAACACACCTATTGTATAGTTAATAGACTCTCCCACCTATAATAAGTAGGAGTAGTAAGAGTAAAGAGGCAGTCGGTGAGTCGGTCGGCCAGTCAGTCAACTAGCAACCACTAGATTGCTCTGCGTTATACCTATTATATATCAAGTTCCTAACGTTTTGTACGTTGAACCTATTTTAGGACCGACTCAGTACAAATACAAGCCTCCACTGTGAAATCCCTCCACAACACTTATTTACTCAATCGTTTGCCCAACCTATTTTACCTCCACATTACAGTTTTCACTGTAAGTTGAAGTGTACTGCCTTTACTACGCGGCCCACTACACCTCAATACTTCATTGCATATTTGCTTATACCTTTGCATTACCGATTTTATCTCCGCGTGCTGGCTCTACTGCGCAGCCCAGTCCATCTTAGCGTTCCATACCTATTTCTACCTTTTCTTAGTTCAGTTTTGCTATTAGACACTTAACTGCTGTCGCAAGTTACTTCTCTTCTGCCTTTACTACGCGGCCCAGTACACCTCAGTGTTTCACTACTTTTTAACCTTCAACGCTTCAACGTTTTGATTGCGTAACCTCTTCCTACAGCGACATTTTCGTGCTGCCAGAAAGCACGGCTTATAGCTAGGAAAAGATTTTTCCATATCGCTCCACTGCATTTTTAGTCTTCGTATACAACGCGGTTGCACCGTTTCAGCTTCGGCATCAACTTCTATTCGCTTTCTTACACAGCATTTCTACAACCATTCAAATGGCTCCTACACGACGAACATCCGCACGTCAGCAACTGATAATCCCTAATACGACTGCGGATGAGCACATAATAACTCCGGTTACAGATAATCATATAGCGTCTACTTCAACTTCTGATTTTGCGTGCCGTGGCCATGACCAACCCGGCAGCTCTGCAAAGACTTCAAAAACACCCAGGCGAGGCAACCTTAGCAGGCGTTCTAAAAAAGCTTCACCGGCTAAAGAGAAATGGGAGCAGGATTCCATTGAGTGCGCCTCCTTGGGGGAGAAGTGGCTGGCGTCTACTTCAACCTCTGCTTTGCACTCTTCTGAGTGCCATGGCGTGACCGACCCGGCAGCTTTGGTAAGTGTGACAAAATAGCATGGCGAAGTAACCTTAGCAGGCGTTCTAAAAGAGCCTCAGCGGCAAAGAGAAAGCGGGAGGAGGAAACTGAGGTAGAGGCTTTCCAGTCAATCTCAACGGAGGCAGTATGTTTTGTCACATGAAACGGCTGGTGAGCGTAACTACCGTTTATACTGCAAATCAGTTTCCACATATTCGTTGAAAATTAAGAGGAAACTACCTAAACGCTTGCAAGACAACAAAAAAAGCGGCTTCATCACAAGCGGTTTTTACGGTCTCGACAGAGCCCGCATCGAAAAGCTACTCGCAATGCAGCCGACGCCGCTGCAACATCCATTCGACGGTCCGAGGAGATCACAGCTGAGAAAACCGCACGTAACGCAACGAAAGCGCACAAGGCGGCAACGCGATGCAATTTCAACTTCCGCTGTTAGAGCTGTAGAAGGAAAGGCTTGAAATGTAGATTGTTCACCAGCGCCGCCATGCACAGCGAGGGCTCTGTAGCCCACCAAAGCAGTTTTGTTTTAAGGTGACGTTCATCTATGAGCCAGTTTTGAGGCTTTCCGGTCGCAAAGACCTCCAAATAAGATCCATGTCAGTTGTCTGTGGGCATTGCAATGTCAACAAATGGAAAGGAAAAATGGAATGGTGTTTGCTGAGGACTGGCTGAGGACTTCAGTGTAGACCACATTTTTAGCTTTTTGCGAGGGTGAATAAAGCAACACATCATCGCGCCTGCCGACTCAAGAGCAGGCTACGTAAATTTGGCCATATGAGAATCACTGCTCCTCATAGTGTACATGAGTGACAGACAGCGTTTGTCCTTGGGCCTTATTAATTGTCATAGCAAAACAGGGTGCGAATGGGAATGGGGATCTTCTGAAAGTGAAAGGTACATCGGCATCTGATGGATACAAATGCATCCTTGGGATAAGCACTGGCTCCCCTTTACAGCATTATTTGAAGCATTGAACTCATCGCCAACTAATGTATAGTGACAAGCATCAATTGTCTCTCCTCACATCACCATATCATATGTACAGAAATGAATGACCCTGACCAGATTACGGGCCCTTTCAAAAATGCGTGCGAGACCCCTTCGTGCAGCAAAAAAACGATAAAAAGCCCGGGTTCGACCATGCCATCAGCTTTCCGTTTTTGACTTCTTTTCACGCCCAGGCTGCACTTAACGTCAAATGTCGATTCAACTTCCGACATTTACGGCGTCAATGCGCAACGTAGACAGATTATCAATTTGGACGCAGGCTTTCAAAAAAATGGTAAATCGGCTGATACTCCGGTATTTGGCGGATTACATTCTAAGATTTCCGGCGTTCTTTACAATTCAACAAGAAATTCCTACGCGGCCCAGTTAGAGGTGCCTTTCATAGAATGCCGTGTGACCCCGTCGTGACTCAAAAACCGATACAAACATCCGTGTTGACCATGCCCTCAGCAGTCCATTTACCACTTCTTTAAACTTTATTTTTTATCCCAGGCCGCATCCCAGATCCGATTTTTTAATTTACGTCATTGTGTCATGCCGGAGCCCGATTTTTTGTTTGGGACTCAAACTTTGTAAAAAAACCGATTAACTCACAGGTGATACGGATTTTTGGGGTTATAAGTCTAATGTCTCGCCTGCACTACTCGGCCCGGTACATCTAAGCGTTTCACCTTATTTTGGACTCTGTGCAGTTGACTTCGCGTTGTTAAACACTTTTGAGCTGTTTTTATTTGAACTTAAAATCGGACCAATGTATGGTTTCAAAAGTACCGGGTTAACAATACAAGGGCAACAACAACCCCGCCCAAGTAGTATGACCAGTCTCAAGATTTCAGAAAACTGGGTTGGGTGTGAAAAATATTTGTTGTTAACATTCTTTTTTCATTCGGTTTTTCCAGTTACGAATCCTTTTTCAAAGCTGATCGTTTTGTGTTCATTTTGTTTAGTTCTTTTTTCGTAACAGATTTAATGTTTAGTACAGAGCAGAAAAAAATTCGCAGTGTGAAATAGGCAAGAAGTAAGGCATATAGCAACATCAGCACGGCAAAGGGCACTCCTTTAAAGGAAAGGAAGGGCAAACATATTTTAGGACAAGTGATAGCGATTGCTGTATGAGTCGTACGATTTTGAATCAATCACGAGCAACGCCATGCTGCTATATATAGTATATATATATATATATATATATATATATGTGTGTGTGTGTGTGTGTGTGTGTGTGTGTGTGTGTGTGAATTGAATAATAATAATAATAAATAGATTACTAGATTATTGTTGTAATTTACTCTGGTATTTCCCCATACATATACACACTTCTACATCGTTGATAAACACAAGCACTAACTTACCGATGTGTTCATATTATATGAGAAGTAATAATTCAAAATTTTAATTTGATAAACGCAAATGATAAATGTCTGGAAATAGAAATTACAAGAATCTTGCATTTAAGAAACAACCATTATAACAGCAGTAATTTTGGTTAGAAGAACCCGGGATAATTAAAAAGCATATTTACAGACACATAAAAAATGTGAGGAAATCAAGTTTTGTCTGAAATACAAATGATTGTCTTAATGGATATTCTACACATAATTTAAAAATGTTCCACCAAAGAAAAAAAAATCATTTACCTTATTTCACAGATAAATTATTATGTAAGTTATTGTATGAAAGCAAAATTCAAAAATATATTATTAATAATAATAATAATAAATACAAAAAATCGTGCTCACTTGTGCAACTCACACATTATCTATGTAAAATGTGTGTGATCTTTGGTTTTCTGTTTCTTTTACAAAAACCATCATTAGAAAATGTCATGAATCCTTTACTTTCAATAGACCTTTGGTTGGGACCCGGAATATACAACAGCAAACAAAGGAAATCATAATAATAAAATTATTGAAGAAATACAAACATTTGCATTAACAAGTACAGTTCTCACATTACGAAGAGCTTTATGTAAAATATGTGTTATATTAGGTTTCGTTTTTTACAAAAGTGATCAGTGGAAAATATCATGAATCAATTTCTAACCTCAGGCCTCTGGTTGGGACCCGCAAGAAAATGGTTATACAACAGAAATCAAATAACGCTAACCCTCACCCTAACCCTAACCCTAACCGTTATTCCTGGGTCGGACAAAGTCTAGTTGCAATTGTAGTAGCGGGTGTGTAATCATTGAATAGTAATGAATAGAATTAAGAAGGAGACGAGAGAACATTAATTTCTTACACCATTTTTAATAATATACAACTGTGTATTATTCTTTATTGTCTCTCCTTTTAGCTCTACGCTATTATATAATTCTAAATTTATGTTTAACTAAATAACATATATTCCAAATCCGTATATTATAAACTTCATTCGATTAATACTGCATATCTTTCCCCTTGTAAACATTCAAAAACATTATCGCCTCCCAACCTCGCAATTATTTAATTGATCTTTGCAATTTGATGAACATTAGATCTAAACTTTCAACTTTGGACTTTTCTGATTGCAAACTCTGCCAGTGGGCCATCGTGAAATGACATCTTACGAAGTAGCTCTCTTCCATCTGGGAGGTGGCACTGGGCACTTTCAAATTCAAAAGGTTAACAGATAGTAGCAATCACGAAGTGGCATCGTGAAAAGAAGGAATGTGTCTTGAAATAAAACAGAAAATATCAAACGAATTCTTTGTTTGCGAATGGCTCCAATTAGTAAGATAAGATGCCAAAAAGCGATAACGTGTTCCATCGCTTAATTAGCGATAAAGAAGGAAAAAAAAAACTGGCATGCAAAGCTAGAAATCAAATCAATTCTGTCTGCAACAAAGAGTGGCCAAAGTCAGGAAATGCAATTCAATAATTAAATTCCAAGAAACAGATCGAAAAATAGATAAAAGAAAATCAGAATTCCTTTCTCCTTTAAGGGTCTGAGTGTTTTCCGTTTTTTTTTTAGATTCTTGAAGATTGGTATTATTATCATTATTATTATTAATTCATGGAATTTTTTTTCTATCACAAGAATGTGAAAAATGATTGTCGATGATTTACATTTGCGTTGTTTTATTTTTGTATTTATTATTATTATAAATATTTTTAAATGTCCTTGATGATATTAAGTGATGTGGACCCGCCCTTACCATACAACTATGCTGGGGCGGTTGTTTTTATTCTTTAATGTTAAACATCTACTCTCATTTAACACAGCGTTTTGTATTTCACACATTTTATTTTGCCCGCTGATTTACAAATTTTCAATCATTAATTTCAATTCACGTTCACAAATTTGAAGTCGAGATATCTCTCTCTCTCTCTCTCTCTATATATATATATATATATATATATATATATATATATATATATATATATATTTATTTAATATTTTTTTTTTAAAATATGATTCCTTCGCTACATAAGAGTCCTCATGTTTCAAAAACGAGAGCCGAAACTATCCAAATAACTATTAAAATTAAGTTGAATTGTGGTGTTTAGTCCCGTTTCATCTTCAAGCGAAATTTTAGGAAACCGGGATTATGCACCCAACGTGTTCTTTTCTATTTTCTGCATACCTGCGCACTTTTATATCTATCTATCTATCTATCTATCTATCTATCTATATATATATATATATATATATATATATATATATATATATATATATATAAAATAAAAATTAAAATACATACACACGAACAAATATACGTATATTTATATCATATCACTGAATTTCTGATCATTTTCTTTATAATGATGGCGGTGATGACTAGAATAGAATTTAGAGTAGCATTTAAAGAAAAAAATGTTCACTGTCTTTTAAGGGTATTACGTTTTCATCCACCTTTATTAAACCCTTTGAGTCCTCACCACCGCTTTACCGCTCGTAGAGAAAAATGAATTAATGTTCAGTCACAGGTTGAATGGTGGATAAAAACTTATAACAATTTTATACTACAGTGAGAGATTACATACCAATTATTTGCGAATTTTGATTCAGCATCACAGGCAGAAGGGTAAAGAAATCTTCAGGAACACGCAGCTCAATGGGTTAAGTAAAAAACACGGAAAAACAAACGCAAGAAATATGAGGAAAACCTTGAAAAGTTTCAGTAGGAAATGCTTGGAGATTTCCAGAAGACACACGGAATTCAACATGGAGAGAGAAAACTTAATCATGAGCAAAATCTATCAATACCGGGTTCAAATTCCCCCTGGAAAGCAGAAATCTAATTTGAATGAAAGAAAAGATCAATTCTTATACAAACGAATATAAATTAAAAATACTGCTAACAGAAGTCGCCCGTATTTATAATATATGCACAAACCTATAAACGCAAGCCCACGTAAATATATATATATATATATATATATATATATATATATATATATATATATATATATATATATATATATATATATATATATATCGTCTTTTATC